GGGGGGGCCTGCTCCAGCTCCCTCTGCCCCACCCAGAGCCCCTGTGCTTGCCTGGCTGGCTGTGCCCTCATTTCCCACGCCCCGGCTCCCTGCCTTCCACCCCGCGGCCCTCAGGCGGGCTCTGCGTGACACCAGCTGCTCCCCCTCGCAGGCATGAGCTCGCCTGACTTCGACAACCAGACTCTGGCGGTGCTGCGGGGCCGCATGGTGCGGTACCTGATGCGCTCCCGAGAGGTAAGGCGGGCCCGGCCCCTGCTTCCCCGGGTTTCCCTCCTCCGCCAGTCTTGTCCTCGCTGACCTCTTCTGTGTCTGGCCCCTGATCTCTCGTCTTTCCCTGACCTGTGTAGACCCATTCCTCAGGTCCCAGCCCTCACCTACCCCGTTTCCCCAGATCACCCTGGGCAGAGCAACCAAGGATAACCAGATTGATGTGGACCTGTCTCTGGAGGGTCCGGCCTGGAAGATCTCCCGGAAGCAAGGTACCGGCAGGCGGCAGTGTGGGGGTGTCCCTCCCAGCCTCTCGCTGCCCTCCGGCCCTGCAGCTTGGTCTCCATGGGAACCCGCTAGGGTTGAGCAGCTGGCATTTCAAGAGCTCTAACTTGGGAGTCATGGGTGCCTTCTAGCCTGTTCCCGGGAAGCAGTGTGTGTGGGGACTGCAGGCCCTCTTCTGGCCTCCCCGTCTCCTCATCCCTTTCGCCTCTCCATCCCCACAGGTGTCATCAAGCTGAAAAATAATGGTGATTTCTTCATTGCCAATGAGGGTCGGCGGCCCATTTACATCGATGGACGGCCTGTGCTGTGTGGCTCCAAATGGCGCCTCAGCAACAACTCCGTGGTGGAGGTGAGCTGGGAGGGAGGTGAAGAGGTTATGATGAGACCCGGGGCGTGGGAGGCCAGTGTGTGGGCCTGGCCCCCAGTCCCACCTCTGTCCTCAGCCGCTTTTCTCTCTTGCCCACAGATCGCCAGCCTGAGATTCGTCTTCCTCATCAACCAAGACCTCATTGCCCTTATTCGGGCCGAGGCCGCCAAGATAACGCCACAGTGAGGACTGGTGGCGGGACCCGTGTGCTCTCTCTGGCCTCCGGTTCCCCTGCCATTCCAGCCCCTAGGAGCTAGGAACTCAGGCTCCTGGAAAAACCATGGTGGGCAGGAGACCCAACTGGCCCATTGATCTGAGCCTCTGTGGGAGGGCAGGGCTGGTCCTTGGGAAGCTCCTCGAGGCTGGAACCCTCCGGCTTCCTTAGAGCCAGAGCCCCTCCCCTTCTCTCTCTGCAGACCACCCTCCTCTGCCCCTCAGATTCCCACCTTTTCCCTTTGTCTCCAGCTGATTGGCTTCAGACTTTTCCTTTATTATTTTTCTTTTGTAAATAAAAAGCACCGAGTTCCAAAGTAGTTCTTTTTATTATATATATTTTTTAATATAAAAAATGGGACTGGTGAGGCAGGGACACATGCAGGGGATGGCAGAATCCCTCGGCCTCAGGCCTGTCCTCCATCCTGCAGAGACAGGTCAGAGAGCAGGCTGAGGTGGGGCACCAAGATTCCCAGCCTGGGGCCTGCCCCTGAAGCTCCAGCCCACTCTGAGAGTCAGGGGCCGGGCCCTCTTTAAGTCTCAGGCTCCCTGCCCTGAGCCGGGGACCAGCACAGAGTCCTGGGGAGCGGCTGCCACTCTCTGCTGCCCCGAGTTCGGGCAGAGCAGCAGACGGCAGCGTGTCTGGCAACACTGGGTTCTGGGGCTGGCAGTCAGACCCCCGTGCCTTCTTCCTGGGTCCACTGGACTGTGCCAGAGCCGTGGCAGCCGATAAGCACCATCTCCAGGCTATGGGGTTCCCAGGGCAAGGCCAGGCCCCCTGACCCTGGCGGGGGCTCTCCAGTACTCGCAGCCTCGGCCTGGTTAGTGGGTTCCGGGGGCCCAGTCCTAGCCCCTTCCTCGGGGGCCGGTGAGCCAGGGGTACTGGGCTCGGGGCAGAGCTCTGCTGAGGCCGGGGGCTCTGAGTCAGAGGTGGGGGTCCAGAAAGCTGTGGCTCGAGGCCAAGGGGAGCTCTGAGAGGCCGGGGGGCCCCAGGGCCAGGGTGCTACGAGGGGAGGGGGCCCTGGACGAGGGTGGGGCCAGGTCCCACTCAAGACAGAGGCAGCTGGGGGCTGCAGGCAGTACGAGGATGTCCCAGTGTCCACACACAGAGGCTGCAGGAGCCCAGAGGTGCCCGCTAGGCACGGCCCCTCTCCCGATGCCCGAAGGCAAGGACCCTCCCCGTGGGGCGCCAGGACTTGCTGCACAGCCTGGCGAAGTGACTGCAGACCCTCCCGCATCTGCAGCACCTGCTCAGACAGCTCTGTCACCTTTAGGGAGCGAGGCAGGAAAGAGGGCGAGGTTAGAGAGGAGTCTGGACCTCACACAACGGCAGCGCCCGCCCCCCTCCCCTCGGCTCCCCTCCCCACCTCCACTTTGCCCCTCACCCACCGCCTGCCGCAGCTTGTCCAGTGTGTCTGTGTTCCTTGCCTCACTGGGCCCGAGGGGGACAGTGAGCAGGCCGTTTTCTGCAAAGAGTAGACTAGGGTTACCAGCCAGCACCAGGAAGAGGCCAGGCATGGGGTCCAGGCCTCTGCCCCAGTTAGCACAGACCACACTGGCCTGGCGGGGCCTGATGCCAGCCACGGCCACTTCCAGCCTTGCCCCAGTTGCCGAATTCTGCCCAAACCACAAGGAGCCCTTGGGCACGCTGCCCCACACTTTCCCCCTCAGGACGCTGCCCTCTGCGTCTGTCCTCCAGACACAAGACCGCTCCCAGGAGCTCATTACCTGGTCCTCTCTCGGGGCTGCGTGGCCTGGGGACCACTTTCAATTCTGCTTCCCCCTTAGCCCTCTATCCTCCCCAGGGTCTTAGCAACATTATCTTCTTTAACATGCACGACAACCGTACTGCAGACCAGAAGCTGGAGCGAGAACCGAGATCTTGCTGCTGGAGAGCTGACCGCAGGGATCCAAACCCCTTCCCGACCACCAAAGTGCTGGTCTTAACCACCAAAATGCCCAAACCATGCAGGCTGGGAAGGACAAGAGGCAAGAAGTCTTTACCCCACCGGTTTCTCAGGGGTGCACAGGGCAGAGAGGCAGCCCTGCCCACCTGCCGCTGCCCCCCACCCCCCAACCTCGGAGCAGGCCTCAGTACCTGGTCCAGGGGAGGGGCTGCTGCTGCATTCCGGGCCAGGCTGCCCCACACGGAAAGAGAACTTGGGCTGGTCGGAGCCACAGCCATCCTCAATGCCATCTACTACCCTATGGACACGGGTGCCAGGACAACAAATCAATCCACGGGCAACCACTGTGGTGCCCTAGTGTCCACACACAGGAGCCCCCTGGAGTTCGGGGCCCAGGAAAGGTAACACGTGGTCCCTTTCCCTAGGAGCTTGCAGTTTTGCCGGGGGGTCCAAGCTTGAGCAACAGGACACAGTGGGAATTCTGAGCAGTAAATGGCCATGGACCAAACGGTTAGGGAGGGGCCGCAGGAAGGTGGAGTCCAGGAAGGCTTCGTGGAGGAGGCTGGGACCGGTTAGGATGGAAGGATGGACACCCAGGGGAGGAATGTGCCTGGCTGGACCCCAGGGCTATCGCCACCATCTTTGCCAGATCACAGGGGCCCAGGGCCTGCTTACCTGGGGCTCAGATCCGGGGGTACATTCCACGGTACAGAGGGCAACTGCAAACCCTCTAGGCTTCGAGGGTGAACAGAGGGGCCGGCCTCAGCTTGTGAAGCCCCTGCCCTGCCCGGCCGTCCTCTGCTCCTTAGCCTGGGCCGGGGCGCGGTTCGCCGTGGGGATAGCAACTTAGCAGCGGAAGAGGAGGATGTGCAGCCGGGGGACAGCAGGGGGCTGGAAGGCTCGTCCGCTGGGGCCGGTGAGGCCGCGGGGCCCTGCTCCCCATCCGTCTCCTTCTCCTCCAGTGTGGACATAAGGGTGTTGTCACCACTCAAGGAGCTGGTGTCTGCCTGGGGACAGTGGGGCACAGGGAACCAGCCTGGATAGCCCCTACCGTGTCCCAGTCACCTGCCCCCCCGTGACCTCATCTCCCTAGAAGGAGCCATCTTTGTTAAACTGGATGCCCAAGATCTCCCACCCTCGGAGGCAGAGGCTGTTACTCGTGGCGGTGAAAGGAGGTGGGTGGGGGACTGCTCTTCTGCTGCCACCACAAAGCCACCAAGCCCTGGAGGAATTTGCTGCCCTTCAAAATTCTAGGCAAATGTGGATACATCACCCCTCTACCTGGTCCCTCAGGCTAACCGAACTGTCCGGGGGAACACAGTGCTAAAAACTGGTTTAGAACTAGTGGTAGAAGCCAGGAAAATTTGAAGCCCTTCAGAGCAGTTGTCTCTCATGGTGAGGAAGCAGGGAGAGCCGCAGGGCTCTCTTCGGAGGCAGCCTGGAGGACTAGTGCCCAGCCCTACCCAGGGGCCCCATCCCTCACGTGTGGCCTCAGCCTCCATCCCTTAAGACTCCGCTGTGGACCAGGCCAGGCCGTCCCGGGCGGGCCGGGGAGAGCCGGCAGGGCTGGCGGAGCACGGCTGGGCTGGGCTCTAAAGGACAGCGTGGGTATGAAGGGGCAGGAGACGGGAGAGTGTAGACCCCCCACAACGTGTGGGGGTGTTAACACCAGGCCAGGCGCTCACACGGCTCCTCCCCAAACCCCAGCCTCTGCCCACTTCACCAGCCACCCCCCCAGCCCCCTCCGCACACATTCCCGGTGCCCTCACCTCTGCGGGGCCTCCGCCGGCACCCAGGTTGTAGCTGAGCTCCCCTCGGAGGCCCCGGCTGAAGCGTGGGGCAAACTCGGGGTACAGTGCGAGGCTCTCGTGCAGCCCAGTCAGCTGGAGACACTGCAGGACGCAGTAGGTCAGCCCCTTTACATCAGCATTGGCCTTGACCACCTGTTCCCGCCGGGGCAGCTCACAGCCAATCAGATCACCCTTCCCTGGGAAGCGGAAGTAGAGGTCAGCAAGCCCTGCCCCTCAGCCCACGCACAGAGGGTCAAGCAGAGACAGCTGAGCTTCCCTTGTGAGGTGAGTGGGGCCTTCGGAGCCAAGACCCAGACGGGCAGAGGGGCCCAGGCTCCGGCCGACCCCCGGCTCCTCAGACAGACTTGGAGTGAAAAGCACTGAGGCCCAGGAGCTCAAGCACTTCCGGGATGGAAGCCACTGTCCTGAAACACACCTGAAGTTTAGCTCTGAGATTAACTGAGCGGTCAACAATTCTGGTGGTTCCGAGCTGTCTGTAGATGGGAACCCGGGCCCCATCTCTACCTATAACGTCTGCAGGAGACCCCACAATCCGGTATCTTTCAAGCCTCACACGTGATTCAGGTGGGGCTCATCCAGGAGCCAGCAGGTTAGTGCCCAGCGCGGCACAGTGAAGAGGTCAGGCAGCCACGCTTCTTCATCTCCCTGAACCCTGGTTCTTGCGGGACGGATTTTGTACTGACTGGGTCCTGGTGCTTTCTTGATCTTACCAGAAGGTGTCAATGTAGGATTTTCCCACCACCCAGCTGGGACTGCCACCTGGCTGACAGCAATTGTAAAATGGCATCAGTTAGAGTCCGTATCCCAATCTCAGAGATGTTAAATTACAGGGGGGAAATGTGCATCTTACAATCAATGAACTAGGGTGCCTCCAATCACGGACATGTGAGGAGTAAGCAAGTTAGTGTAGGTAAAGTGACTGACACAGAGACGATCAAAGTTCGTTTCCTTTCTCTCCCTCTGGACAAGAGTCCCCTGTAGATCGTTCCCAACAGAGACGGCCTGCCGTAGGCAGAGCACTCGCCGCCTTCACAAGGCAGCTCAGCCCACTGCCGGAGTTCGCAAGATTGGAAAGCGTTTCCTTACCCTCAAGGAAGAAGATGGATCGCTGCCACCCTCCACCGTGGGCTGGCTCGTGCTGCCAGCAGGACTGAGCTTAGCAGCTCCTGTAAATGTTCACGGACTTTTGCTCAAACTTAAGTGTAGAAAGCATTGCTGTTAAATTGTATTTTCTTGGTTTCGGGCCATCCTTCTGGTTCCTTCTGAGAGCTGTTTGGATCTCAATGTGCTCATCTGATGAATGAGCTCTCTCTCCTGTGTGTCATCTGGAAGTAAGAGAAGTGTGTATTTTTTGTCTTCATCCAAGAGGTGAGATAGAATCGAGAAATAGGACAAGACCAATGACAGAGCCTCCATGCCATCAGTCTCAGACCAGAGACTGCCCTCCAGGCCGGCATTGCAGCCGGAACCTCCAGCTCAGCGTTCCAGCCCCCTCAGGTCTTCCTGGTACTGTCACCCAGCCCACTTCTCTTCTCTTGCCTCCTTCCCCCACAACCGACTGTGTGTGCTTAGCTGTTAGCTCACACGCAGAGGTAGGGGCCAGAATTGACGCCACGAGCTGCACGGTGAGCCTCAGCGGCCAGCAGCAGGCAGGAGGCCCCTGGATGTCCAGCGAAGGAGGCAGGTGGGGGCAGGAGTGAAAGCAAAGCAGAAAACCAGGTTGTGGGGAACCGGGCATACATCAGGGCACCCGGAGCCATCAAGTCAACAGAGGAAACAATTCCTCTGGAACGTGTGTGCAGGCACAGGATGGATCAAAGGTGGCAAAAGCTCCAGTGCTGGGGACGCAGGCAGTGAGGTGAAGGTGGCGGACATTCTTGAGGCTCGTCTTAATAGTGAACAGGATTATTCTGCAACCTGGTGCGTGGCAGCAGTGAGGAGATGTTCTTACAGGACCAATGCCAGCTCCCAGCCACACTGCTTCCTCGGCTCCGAGATGAAAACCATCTGTTTAATAATCCGCTCGTCAGTCTTGACCAGTCTGCAATTGTCAAAATCTGTCTGTTTGCCCTTCTGAATCTCTCCAGTTCTCCAGCATTTCTCAAGGACTGCCAGCTATATGTGGGGGGCCATAATTCCATTTCCTGGGAGTCCTGGCATAAAAGGCATCTAGGTCGGGAAGCCAAACTCCCAGAAGACTCAAGGTGAAAGGTGTGGCAGCCTCTCACCTCTCTTACCTCCAAGACCCCCTTGATGGTATTTCTTTTTCCTGTTGGTAGATCATCCTCCTCAGGGAAGCGGGGAGGGACGCACAGTAGCTTCTGGGCATCTAGTCTTCTTAATTCTCCAGGTTGGTGACAAACCTCAGCCCCTCCAGGCGTCAGCCACCCCCACGGTGAGTCTACAAGCACTTGGCCGAGGTTTCACCTCCCTTCCATCCCCTGTTGTGAGGCCCTCCATTACCCAAACAGGTCACAGAGTTCCTGCCTGCTGGGGTCGCTGCTGGGAGCCTCCCACAGCCACGGACACCCTCAGCTCTGTGTTTCCAGGAGTGCTTTGCGTGTGCCTTCCTAAAGCCCGGTGTGTACAGCGTGCCATCCTGAAATTGTGCCCTTCCTTGGGGACACGGCCCTCCCTTGATCAGAGCTCCTGAAAGCACAGTGTTTGAAGCCTTAGGGTTGGCAGACTAGGTTCTATCCCCACCAGCCAATTCATGAACCTCTCCAAGCCTCCTGCTTCTTCCGTGCAGAACAGGCACGACACCAGTGCCTCTGCCAGGGGTTTTGTGAGGTTTGTGTGAGCTGAAACACCTAAGGGCCAGCCCTGCAGTGAGACCCTTGGGATCAGCATTATTCTGACGTCCATCCCACAACTGCAATCTCTTCTTCCTTGTCCAGGGACTCGACCCATTTCCACCTCTTTCTTTTGCCAAGAAGGGAAGTATATAGGCAGAGTCCGAGCCCTGCTGTTGCCCGCTGGGGCCCTGGGCCCGCTCTGTGACCAGCCCTAGGAAAGCACAACCCCCCTCTCCCCTGACCTGGTGGAGGGGCCCCACAAGAACAGCTCTCATTCCCTTCTTGCAGCCCTGCCTAAGCACTCTCTCCAACACTGCCATCCCTAGCATTTGATTTTTCTCCTTGGCAGGAACTGCTGATCCCCCCCATCCCCTCATAGGCTGCAGGCTGGTGGTCCTCCACTCACTCAGGGAGCCTTGAACACCTCCTTGTGTTGCCACCCGGTGGTCATTGGGTCCGCTTTGAGCTTTGTCTGCTTGGCGCTTTGCGCCATGGCTTCTCCTGACTCCGTCCTGGCTGTTTCTCCGCGGGTGGCCTTGCCTGTGCCCCCTGTCCACGTTTCTGCTGATGGGGCCCTGGTTCCACCCACCTCCCCCAAAACCCCCGCTTCCTCTCCTGCCCTCACAAACCTAGGATGGCAAGTACGGTGCCGCCCTTGAGCACCTCCATGGAGCCGGAGCAGACAAAGTAGAGGGCCTGGAGAGCGTCCCCTTGGTGGATGAGGTACTCGCCAGGCGTGCAGAAGGCGGGACGCAGGGCCAGGGACAGTGCCCGCAGGCAGCCACGGCTCGCGGCCTCAAACAGAGGCAGCTGCAGAACCTCCTTGTGCAAGTGCATGGCGATGTCTGCTCGAAGCTCGTCTGGGAGGCTCTGCAGCAGCTGCAGGGGGGAAGCAGGTGGGGAGGTTAGTGGTGGCAGAATGCAAGGCAGCCTCCAGCCAGCCCTCTTTACATCCATCCCACAGGCCTTAGGAGCAAGGGGAAGTGTGGGAGGCACCTGAGGCTCCATGCCTGTAGCCTGTACCGGCAGTGCGGGAGGCTGCCTCTGCCCCCCTCCCATCACTTTAGCCCACCGTGAGCTGCTTGGCTTTCCTCCTCCAGGCCCAGAGCCGGATGTCGGTGAGCAGAGCCTCCAGGCCTAACAAGGGTGGAGAAAGGCCTTCAAGGCTTTTTGACTGCCCTCTGCCCCATGCTACTGCCCACTCCCGGGGAGCAGAAGCCAGGATTTTGTGTTCCTTGCCCCCCAGCCCACTCCTGGGAATTTTAGGCCAAACGCATACTCCTGGAAGGAGCAAAGGCTGGAAGGGCCAGCCCTGGAGGCCTGCGCACCTCAGTGGTGTCGATACCGTTGTTCACAGCCCACGTCGCCTGGAAGTACTCGAGCATGCGCTGCTTGAGGGGCTTGGGGATGCGGTGGATGCGGATGTAGTCTCGGAGGTCACGGGTGCGGCTGTGGTACAGAAAGCGGCGGGCGTACATGCGCTGGATGATGGCCGTCACGTTCCCAAACACCACCGCGTGCATCAGGGCTGGGGAGGGTGGCGAGAGGGGGTCACCTCCAGGCCCGGCCTGACACCACGCTGGACACATCTGTCCTCCCTCCCACCATCCAAGTCTCCTAGGCAAGACACGGGCCGCTGTGTGGCAGGGAGTCCTGCAGCCACATGGGACTCCCCTGGCCCTGGCTCTGTGTTCCTTCAGTCCCCAAAAGCAGAAGAACCTCTGAGAAGGACCTTGGGGCCCTGGGGGGAGGCGGGGTGTTGGGGCCACCTGGAGCCACAAGTCTGAGAGTGGGCCCAGGACAGGGAGAGCAGCAGGCCTCACCGCCAATGAGCATGGTGCAGATGGAGAAGATCTTCTCGGTGTCCGTGTTGGCGGACACGTTGCCGAAGCCCACGCTGGTGAGGCTGCTGAGCGCGAAGTAGAGGGAGGTGATGTAGGCGCTGCGTAGCGAGGGGCCGCCCAGGAGCTCCAGCCCCGTCCTGTTGGCCTCCCCGCTGACGCTGCTACAGTTGTCGTTCTGGCCGGAGCTGTTCCCTGCCACAGGGCTGCGGCCCACCAGGTAGTAGGGGGTCTCGAGTCGGCGGGCCAGCTCCTGCAGCCAGCCTGGGGAGGGGACAGGGCACACCTAAGAAAGCGGGACGGCACTGCCACACCACAGGCGCACGTGTGCCCACTGCTTCCCCCGGGGCGGGGGCCATGTGGATGCAGACCACCCCCCCATGTCTTCCCACCACTTTCCTCCTCTGCCGGTCCAGCACACCCTGTCCACCCCCTCAACCCTGACCAAGACAAGCATGTGAGGACGAGGCTGTCGTCTCTCCAGCCGGCGTCTGCTGGTGCCGAGAAGGGAGCAAGGCGCATTGCACCCTCTCTCCCGTGGCTGCCACTGATCCCAGCCAACGGGCCCGGCTGGAGGGGCACAGGACCCGCACCGGCCAGTCTTGTTCCCAGGGACGGAGAGGTGAGGCCACCTCCTCTGCCCTGTCCACCCAGACTCCTCTTGCTCTTTCTCTGGGCTCACCTGCTCCCAAAGGCTGCTTCCCCCTCACCCCTTCCACAACCACACAAACCACCCAACCCCATGTTCGCATTCTCAAGCACAGCATGGATGCGTGCATATGCACCATCAAGGCCACAGACGTGCTCTGCAGTTGAGAGAATGAGGACACACACGTATGAGCACATTCACAGGTGCACAGCCACAGCCACTCACACAGGAAAAGCCTGAGCGCACTTGGGAGAGAGACAAGGGCACACAGGTGCTTGCACTCAGACACCCAGGTAGGCGAGGCGAACACGAGCACACAGGTAAGCACACTCAAAGGCCACAAACAGGCAGGCACCTGTGCACACACAGAGGCTCCTGAGCACACATGCAGACATGGGTCAGCCTGGGACACTGAGCAGAAGCTGAGAGTGCCCCAGTCCCCCCCATCAATCCCACACTCTCTGGCTTGGACTTGGCAGGAGGTGGAGCTGAGTACTGGGCTCTCTCAGGAGCTCCGGCTACCCACAGTCACTCTGAGTCCAGCTGGAAGCTTGTGGGAACTCTAGGGTGTTGGATGGGGGTTCCTGGGGTCCACAGAGGTCCCAGGGATCCTGGCAGAACCGGGGGTCACGGGGAGCAAGGGAGAGAGGGCTGATCTAGGGTGGAGACACAGAGGGCGGGTGCAGAGAGGGGGCTCAGGGTCTGTGGCTGCAATGGAACTCACCTCTCCACATGCGCTCTGCCCGTCCCACCTTGACACACCCAGCGTCTCTGCTCCACACTCTCCCGAACGCCTTATACACACTCTCCCTGCCATCTCTACGCCCCTCCTCACCCCCAGACCTGTTTATTCAGCGATCTCACAAACATGTGCCTCATGCACAACACCCGAGGGCCATGTGATGGGGCTCAAACGGACATGCTATGGGTTAGGGCTAGAGGACTCCCTAGAAGAGAGGACATTGGTGTTTGGTCTCCAAGGATGGCTAGAGTTTTGACTCAGAGAAACTGAGAGAAGGTTGTTCCCGATTTAGGGAAGGACCATATTGGGCCATCCCTAGGGATGGTGACACGTGCAAGCAGTTGCTCAGCTTAGCTGGAGTGTGCGGTTCCTAATGGGGGCATCACATTCCCTGCTAAGGAATTTGAGGAGATGTGTCAAGGCCTGAGCCAAGGTGAGGACTTGCTCTACTGTGACTTGACGTGTGCTGCAAGGATTCGCAGGAGTGTGCCAAGCTCGTCAGTCGCTCTTCAGCTGGGCCTGAGTTGAAGCCAGTTCCAGGTAAGGAGAGTGGGCAGCAAGGGGTGAGAAGCAGGAGGATGAGGCGAAGGTTCCAGAGGGGACTGTCCTCTCTGTCTTGGCCATGGGGCATTGGCAGCTCCTGGAGCTGGTGGTGCGGGGAAGCTGTTCCGGAGGCCAGTGGCTTTTGTTGAGAAATGCCCCGAATGATCTCCCTCAGCATTTAGTACAATCTTTTGAAAATGCAGCCCATCTCTATGGGGCTAACGGGAATAGGGGGAAGGAACTCTGTGTCGACACCACCCACAGCAAGGCAGAACCCAGGCAGGGAAGCCGGGGGCAGGGACCTCCCAGAGCCAGACCAGAGCCAGACCAGGAGGGGGCGCCACTTCCCCTCCAGAAATCCCTTCTGGGGCTGGACTCTGGGAGGTCTGGGTGTGGCTCTGACCCAGCTGGGGAGTCGCTTCCCTGGAGAAACAAGAAGGGGAAGATGATGTGAAGAAGGACTTGGAAACTCCCCTAATGTGAGCTAGTACCAGCCCAAAACAGAATGAAATTACTCCAGAACTTAGGGTGCAAGAATTAATATGAATATCTGCAAAACAGCCAGCCCCCCACTTGCCCATGTTCTCCATGGCGGGACTCAGAGCCCCTCCAAGAGCCAAAGATATTCTTCCCATCAGCTGAGCAGCCTCTGTGAGGTGGTCAGAACAAAGGAGCCACGGGGACCAGAGACTCCAGAGTGGCCCTATTTGGGCACAAACTGACCTGGGGATATGGTGTCTCAGCCCACTTTGGGATCAGGGCTTTGCATCACTATTATCTATCTCCCGGCCCACTGACCGTGTCGCCGTGTCTGCCTCCATCACAGCCTCCCTCTGGGAAGGGCAGGTGCCAAGGAGTTGACACTGCCTGCAGCAGCCCGATTCCGTGTGCTCGGCAACTAGAGCTTTGGGGAACATCCAAGTGGGCCTCTGGGCCACACACCAGTCTCCGCGGGCTTGGCAAGGGAGAGAGGATTTGCAAGAGCCTCCTTGGCCCTGGGAACTGATCGGAGCACGTTTCTAAGGCCCAGCTGGACTCCTGGTGACCCCACCAAGGAGCAGATGGTCATGCAAGGCCATCTGAGCAGCTGGCCTGCTGCCCATGGACTGGAACAAGCGTACAGGCCAGTTCCTGGGAAGCCACCAGAGGGCTGGAGGGCAAGGGAGGGAGAAGGTGTGTTCGGTTTTGGAGCCTCAGGGTATGAAGAGTTAGAACTGGCGGGAACAGAATGGTTCAGAGTTAGAGGAAGGATGGAGGTTGAGCTGGTGTAGTGGCACCATGGAATGACAGGGGACAAGGTGAGGGGAGGAGACAGGGCCAGGGCGGAGGAGGCTGATGGAGGGCCTCATTGCTCAGGGCAGAGGGGTAGAGCAGTTCAAAGGGGTGTAGTTAGCAGAGTCAGGTGCCACAGGGACTTCAAGAGGATGCGGGTTTGGCCCTAGGAGGTCACTGCAACCTGCTGGGTACCATTTTGGGTGGAGAGGTGGGGGTGGGAGCCTTCCTGGCAGGAGTTAAGATGTGAGTGGGAGGCGAGCAGAGGGAGGAGTGGAAGTAGAGGTGAAGTGAAGGAGAGTGAGTACACCAGCGGAGCAGAGAGAAAGGCTGCATTTTAGGCCTGGGGGAGGGCAGAGAAGCAGCTGAGAGGGATGGGCCTGCATATAACAAGAGTGGGGAAAGGCCTTAGAGGGCAAGGTGTGGGGGGTGGGATTCCGAGAGGGTGGTGCAAAAGCACCAGGCACCAGAAGTACCCAGGGCAGTGGCTCCCTGCACGGCCTTCTCCTGAGAAGGGTTGATTCTCAGCTGGGCAGAGGCCTGAAGAATGTGACAAAGGCTAAGGCCACAAGGAGGGCATGATGGGTGAGTAGGACTCCCCCGGGCCCACCAGGCTTTCTCCACTATGCCTGGCTGCTGAAGAACAGGCCTACCTCAAGGTAGTGGCTCTGTCACAGTCACACCTGTGTGCACGTGCACACACAAGCACACACGCGCGCGCGCACACACACACACACATACCAGCCCCCACATTCTTCTCACAAACACACACCTACTTGCATGTATGCCCCAGATACACATGCAGACTTGCACACATCCCTGACCCCCCCCATATCAGCTCACAAACACACCCGTGGACTCACATTTCCCTGACACACACACACTCGAGCAGACATATTCCTCTGTTACATATGTACACACACACACCCCTCCCCCGCCACCCCTCGCCGGAAGCCTCTGGTACCGATCTCCGGCAGCTCCGAGGCACTGCTCTCGATCTCCAGCTGGCCGATGTAGAACCAGACGCAGGCCACCCAGTGGGCGAGCAGGGCGAACACAGCCATGAGCAGGGTGAGTACCACAGCACTGTACTGCGAGTAGCGGTCCAGCCGCGGGAGCAGCCGCAGCAGCCGCAGCAGCCGCACCGTCTTCAGCAGGTGGGCCCCAAAGTACTGAGGTGGGGGGAGACGGAGGTCACCCCAGGGCCGGCCCCGCCAGCCCTGCCCCAAAGCCCACCCAATCAAGCCACACTGACCACGTTGACCTTGAAGGCATGTAGCAGGTCAAAGGGCAGCGCCGCGATGACATCCAGCAGGAACCAAGTGGTGACATAGTGGAGGCAAATGGACTTTGGGGCAAATACCACCTGGCCTGACTTGGACACAAACGTGGTGCGGAAATTCAGCACGATGTCTGCAAGAAGTCAGGGTGGGACTCAGCATGGGGTAGCGGAGGGGCCACACCTTACTGGGCATTGACACTTTACTGGGTATCTGACATGGCCTGGGGCACCCTACCATCGTAGTTCATACAGAACTCTAAAGGGTGGATACTGTTATGCCCATTTGATGGAGGGAGAAACTGAGACTTGGAGAGGCTATCATCAGCTCAGGGTCATATAACCCGTTAGCAGTAGAGGTATGTTTGGAACCTAGGTTTGATTTCAAAGCCCACAGGTCACAAACAGGGGGAGGGCATGGGGGACACTTGTCAGCAGGCACAGGAAGCCATGCAGACTATCCCCATCAAAGCCCGAGGGGTGCCCGGCATGGGGTGGGGTGGGAGGCACAGGGCACACGTACCAAGAATGAAGAGGACCTCCACAGCCAGATCACAGACGCTGGGGGCACTGCGGGCGGCGCTGGGCTCCCGGGCTGTGCTCACACACACGCTGTAGGGCACGGTGACAGCCACGTAGAGGGTAGCAAGCAGGATGAAGCCGTCCCAAGTGGCCCTCAGTGCCCCACAGTGCAGCAGGATGAAGGGTGACTTTCGGATGGCTGCTACTTTGTACTCAGGCAAGTTTGGCTTCTCCCCAAACACCCCCTGAGGGGGGCAGGGCAGGTCCAGCCAGGGAGGACAGGAAATTTATAGAAGCTGAGTTGGATAGGGTCTGGGACAGGCGGCCACCTCCTTTCTCTCCCTGCATACTCAAAGCAACCTCTGACACGGGCATTAGAGCCCTCATGTTACAGATCAAAAGACTGAGGATCAGAGAGCCCACTGACTTAGCTGAGGGCACACAGCCATTTAGGGGAAGAGCCGACATTGATCCAAGTCCCATCTGACTCCAGGGCCAAGACTCTATCTTTGATGGATCAGGCATCTGACATTCCCTCTCTCAGTCACAACCCCAAAGTGCTGGTGGGGCCTGGGTGGTCCCCTGGACATCCTCTCTGTGCTGGGCTTAGTTCCCCTCCTCCATCTCCTCAGCCTGCCCCTACGGTGCCCTGCCCCCCAAACACACACCCTTATGCGCAATCCACCTTATTGAGCTTGTGCTTGCCCTTGGGCTGCTTCTGCAGGTGCCCAGACAGGTGGTAGAGCACAGCCCGGCTCCGCCGCCGGTTGGCATTGAAGCCTTTGGCTCCTGCCCGGCCATATCGGCGCCGGCCACCACCTGCAAAAGAGCGGCCCGTGAGGATGGTGGGGGGAGTGCCCACACCCCCTAGCTAGGGTCTTGTGTGGAGGACACCAGTTGCTGGCCCATGACCTGGGCCAGTCTGACTCATTGACTGGTTAGTCTGTTTAGAATTGGGGGCTCCAGCATCCTCACTTCCAGGGGCACTTATAGACACTCTTCCCCATGCCAACTTGCAGGAGAAGGAGGTCTGGATTAAGGCAAAGGCAGGAGAGGATTTCCATAGGGAAAGGCCTGAGACAGGAGTGGGGAGGTGGTTCCCAGGGCTGGGGGGTGGGTAGGGGGGATGGAGAGTACCCCTAGCATCCCCAGCTGCCCCCAGTGACAGCCTTGTGAGCTGGCCATAAGGCCTCCCCAGTCCTTGGAGGATACAAGAGGGGAAAGGTCCCAGGGACTAAAAGAGGGCTTTGGATGGGGCTCCTAGTCAGCTCTGTGTGAGGGAAAGGTACCAAGTGGGTCTGCACTGGGCCCCACTAATTGGTCCGAAAATGGTACTTCGCGGGCACTAGCGGAGTTTGTTTGCTTTCCGTTTCTTAGTAAAGTTGACTTCAAAACTCCAACTTTGTCTCAACTGGTCTCTTTGGAAACAAGCTTTCCATATCTGGGCATGTGGAGATGAGAGCAGCACAGGCCTCTCACCCAGCAAAGTGGGACTCAATGAGTGCAAGAGGGTGGGGGGACCCGTGAGCCCAAGCTGGGTGCCAAGGCCCCACCCACAGCAGCTAAAATCAACAGCCCACGGGCACCCACCTGTCTCCTTCCAATTGTCAGGGCCCCCTCGGTTCTTGGTGTCACTGATATCCTTGTGAGAGACCAGGAAGAGGGCCACCTCCCCTTTCTCATTCTTTATGGGTATCACATCGAGGAGACACCAGAATGGGAGCCCTGGGCACAAAGACAGACTTAGCCTAGCTCCTGTTCTCCACCTTGCCCGAGGTGACAGAGGTTCCACTGCCACCCCCCCCCCCAAGACACAAGCAGGATGGGGGCTTTTCTGGGAGTGGAGCGGCGGCCTGGCTCCATATAGGACAGGGCTTGATGGAACAGAGAGGGTGAGGGAAGGCAAAGGAGAGCAGAAATGACCATCAGACGTGTGTGTTCATAGACCTGTCCTACTGAGACCGGGACATTTTTCCGCTGAGGTGGGAAACTCAAGATTGGAAATTGAGTGGAGACTGAGGCTGAGGTGGGGATGGAAGAGAGAAGCCAAGGGACAGTGGATGGGGCGGGGAAAGTAAGGGGATGTGGGAAGACAGGACGGGATGGGGAGATGGAGAAGATGGGGATGGAACACAGGGGCAGTGGATGGAGTGGGTGCCAGGCTGGGTGAGGCCTCAAAAGTGAGGTGGGCTGGCCAGGTGGCCCCTCACCGCTCTTCCGGTACAGGATCAGCTCAGCCTTGAACTCCTTGTGCTCATCCAGCGCCTTGCGGATCTGTTGGCGGACAAGCTCACTGGTGTCTGGCCCATAGAGGAAGGAGCAGGCGCAGCCCCGCTGCATGACCTCGGCCCGGGAGAAACCCGTGAGGTCGCAGAAGCCATCAGAGCAGTAGACCACGGGGAAGAGCCCCGCCACCTGGGCATTGCCCAGCACGAAGTTACTGTCTGCAAGAGAGCACCTCTCAGAGGAGGCATGGGGTGGAGGGGCACAGGGTCTACCACCCCTCTTTCCTAAATGCCTGCAACCAAAGGGTGGGTGTCACGAAACCCAAGAATTCTGTGTGTGTGTGTGTGTGTGTGTGTGTGTGTGTGT